AACATCGTAAATGTTTGGATGTTTGTTAATGAATCAGTCCAAAACGGCTAGACGGATCTGGATGAAATTTGGCACAGGCATAGGATACACTCCGGAATGGGACAAAAAGTAAGTAAAGTCAAAAGTCAGAAATCATTTTTTTCAATTAGACCCTTACTGGCACTCTTGAATGTCAAAAAAAAATTAAAGATACAAAATATCAGTCTACTGGTCAGTCCTTTTAGTGAAGCTATTCGCTCGTTCCAAAGTGTAGATTCCGATGGAGAAGAACGAGCAAGAAACTCCATGGTTACTCTTTTTAAATCGTAATTAACGATGTAATTTTCGTTCTGCCGCATCGTCGTACTAATAATGGTAATTTCTCGCCGTTATCCCGCATTATTTCGCTTGCCAACTCCATTCGCGGAGAAATCTTCACTGGTTCTATAGCCTCAGTAAGGTCCAAACTGAAAGTATTTCGGGATTGACTTTTAATTTAATTGTATTTTTAATTTATTTGTTTTTTGATTTCTTGGTATTTCTTCAATATCTTCATAGATTTTCAAAAATGTACTACTTATTTTAGTTTGTAAGTATCTACTTATACGCATCTTGGATTCACATCTAGTAGATGTCAATCAGATAAGTTGTTTTAGGCCTATAATTAAGCTAATAAGATTGAACATCAGTTATGTGAAAATAATAATAAAAAGAAAAAACAGTTTCACATACAGATTCCTTATACAAACATTTGGTTCAATTATGTGAGAACAGTGTAACACTAATATTTATTTAAAGAAAATAGAAAAAGAAAATAACCTTAAGGACAATAGACAGTCCGAAGGTGACCAGTCCCAGCTGACGGCGCCCGTTCACGAACATGACACGTACACCAGCATCGCCCAACTCAACCATATTATAGGGAATTAAGCGATCCAGCGCCCATGCCACCGCCAGTGTGACCTTTCAGTGAGCATGACAACTCCAAGCTGTTATAAGGACCAACATTCTGCTAGTCTAACCAATTGTAATAGGTTACAAGGCACTCACATTTACAAATTTACCAAGCTTGACAATATAATACAAATTTACTAAATTTAAGAAATCCCGTTCAAGTAAAATCCACTAGCACGTTATTTATTTTGGTGTAGGTTTGCTATGCTGTGGAGCAGGACCAGCATGTTCCCAAGCATCTTTATCCACAATATAATCATTCAGTGTGTAATATGCCTGTTAATAATTGTTTCTTTATATACATATAATTTAAAATGTCTTTCATTTAATTATTGTATTTCGCCTGGGATTATGTTATTTAACACAGAATCCCATGAACGACTTGTGTACCTTTACTAATCTAAATAATGGCTGACATAATCTATATGTCTAGTTTGATAACTATGTCTTACACCTTTTCAAATAATTTTATGTTTCTCCTAACATACATAATGTTTCCATAAATAAACTGACATGGCACAGTCATAATATTGATCTCTCTAAACTTTTCTCTAAGAGATTCGCGACGCCTTAGATTGTAAATAGCTCTGATGGCACGCTTTAAAAGATAGACTCAATGTCAGCAGCCTGTCCCCACAACAAAATGCCATAAGACATAATGCTATGAAAGTAGTAAGTAAAGTACACCAGTCTTGCAGTGTCCACGTCTGTTAGCTGTCGGATCTCCCAGACAGCAAATGCTGCAGAGCTCAATCGTCCTGCCAGAGATCAGATATGGGGACCCCATTGTAGTTTCTCATCTATTGTTATACACAGAAATAGACAAATAATCGATATTTATCAATTTATAGGTACCCCTTCCTCTTTATTTTTATTTCTGGGAACAATTTTTACGATTATTGAAAACAACGAGCGTTACTCTCAAAATTATAAATATTATACACGACGTACTAGCGATGTGACGCTTCGTGACGTACTGGCTTGAGTTTGTATTTACTTTGGTGGCTTCACTTTGTGTTCTGCAGGCTCCATCTGCCTTTGTTTTGTAATCTGTGGACATAACTTAGGTCGCTTCTCGACTATGAAGGTTCGAAACCTGGCAAGAGTTGCTGATACTTTCCAAGTTTATTTAGACACAATTGACAATCGGCGATGGAATACATCGTCAGGAATTCCGGACTTGTAATTTCTAATTATCTTACTCAGTGGACTTGTAACTTTCTCGTGATGTGTGATGTGATAACACGTAGGGTTCCACATTTGACAATAAAATAAATATACCTAATAAAAAAAAACACTTTTGATATTTCCCTTTTATTCTACATACGTCTTATTTGAATATCGATCCTTTACGCTTTGCTTAACTTATTCAAAAAGATGTAGTTGCGTTTAATAATATTTATTGCTGTACATGGAAGTTTCGCTTTTGCACCTGAGCTTGAAGTAACAGTCCCTACCCAGACCTACACAGCTAGCGAGCCAGCCGGCGCGGCGCTCGCAGCGACCAGCTTGTTAGATATTGTTTGGAAACTAATTATAGAGGATGTGTCTTCCACCAACCATTCCCAGATTAAGAGGGTAAGACAGGTTCACGTGCCCCATATAATTACCGTATTCATACCTGGAGAGTTTTGTCTATGATCAGTTTTAAAAAAATTGAAAATAACGGAACAAAAATCAATGATTGGACGTTAACCAAAGTGTATTAGGAAATGGCTTCCTGGTTGCCCCCATCTCGCTTGATCCGTACTGCCAAGTATGCCCCTGCGGGACAAAGTGCGGGGAGTACCGCCGTTATAGGTTAGTGCGCTACCAGTGCTGTAGTGCTACTAGGGGTAATGCTTGTCTTGAGTCTCTGGCGAAGGCGAGGCGGCCGCAGACTCGCGGGGCCTCGCAGCGCGTCACGCCAACTTTCTCATTTTCAACTACTTTTTATATTTAATTATAAATATACCTATATGATTGTAAGAGAAGTTAGAAGGTTTGAGGTTAATGTATTTGTAAGAGGTCGCTCTGGTCGTACGTCACGCGGGACCCTCACGGCTCTATGATGTAATCGGATACAGACTGTTTTGTATTAGATGACAAAATATATCGCTGTTGAAGCTGTTTGTAAAGCACCGACTGCGGCGGCCGACGCGTCGCCCGGGCGCGGCCCCCGCCAGTCGGTGCTCTTGTCCAAACTGTACATTTTTGTTATGACATATTGAAATGTCATGTTACGGTTTTCAACAAAATTAAATTGTCAAAGTTTTATCGTTTTCAATAAAAAACGAAATCCATACATGTTGTTTTAATACTGTTTCAGTTAGCAACCTCTATCGCACAAATGATTCACATTCCTATCTCTATTTCAGTTTCCAACACAAATTACACCTTTTTTATCGAATTGGAGATATTACCGTATTCATACCTGGACAGTTTTGTCTATGATCAGTTTTAAAAAAAATGAAAATAACGGAACAAAAATCAATGATTGGACGTTAACCAAAGTGTATTAAGAAATGGCTTCCTGGTTGCCCCCATCTCGCTTGATCCGTACTGTCAAGTATGCCCCTGCGAGACAACTCATCCAACGGCTCCACCAGGCGGATTACTAGGGTAAGTGATCAGCGCCAGCCATGGATAGTAAAAAGAGAAATGGACCCAATATCGAACCCTACGGAAGGCCCATTTTCGTCTCAAAGCCCTGTGAGTTAGAATCGTTTAAATGAACTTTTATATATGATTTAAACAGACAGAGCGTAGTGTGTCTCATCCCGTAAAGTGCCTCATAATCAGTGCACTCGGGTGCTTTTGAGGACGCAAACAGAAGAGATATCAACAGCATCCTTTGTTTCCTGCCAAGCATCAAATATTTCCCTCATTAAAGTAACACCGGTGCTGGTAGATGTAGAACACATTTGTGAAAAGGCTAGAACTCTTTCGTTTCTTATGAATTTGTATCAAAACTCCATTATACAGCTCGATTCGAGTCCAGAACTCACGTTCTGGAGTTAGCAGATCATGGTAGATTGTTTAAAAGTCGAAAAATTCATTTTTCATGTTTTCAAATAATTGCTAAAGGCTAGAACTCTTTTGGATCTATTGCTAAAGGCTAGAACTCTTTCGTTTCTTATGAATTTGTATCAGAACTCCAACATACCTATCGATTCGAGTCCAGAACTCACGTTCCGGTGCTAGCAGATCATGATGAATTGTTTAAAAGTCAAATAATTCATCTTTCATCCATTCAAATACTTGCTAAAGGCTAGAACTCTTTCGGTTCTTATGAATTTGTATCAGAACTCCAACAGAGAACACAGAACTCGATTCGAGTCGAGAACTCACGGTGTCGTGCTGGCAGATTATGAATTCGTATTAGAACTCTCTTATCTGTATCTTGTAATCTTCAGCAAAATGATCTATTACGACAAGTTAGTACCTTTTTCTGTCGATAAATATGTTCTGAGGTAAAAACGTCAGAACTATTGCTGAAAACTATCAGGAACAGTAGAACTCAACTGCATGCAAAAGGAACGCGCATTTCTTTCTGATCTGATGTCGTATGCTCTGCTACGGGAAGTTAGCAGATCATTTCGGCAATCGGCTTTTTTCAAGGTAAAACTCTTAGAACTATTGCTATAATCTATCAGGAACTGTAGAACTCAGCCGCATGCGAAAAGAACTCTCTTTTATTTTTGATCTCCTGTACAATGATTAGCTAGGTTCACACACACGAATATACATGGGCGGCAATAGCTTACCATCATGCAATAAGACTGCTCGTGTAGATCGCCACACAAACAAGTCGTGTATATGTTTTGACAGGTCGTTCCATTCCAAGGGAAACATGGCAGAAAAGCCTAAACCCTAACCTAATATAAAAAGTTGATAATATTGCACTATTTTTACTTCACTATATATACCTAAAATAGCTTCCGTTTTAATATATCCCGGATTTTCATATTAGTTTATATAATCTATTTAATACACGACGCTAGATTACGTAGGTACCTACATAGAGGTTTTCGAGGACTGGGGTGGGGGGCACAGTACTAGGGGAGAGATGAACAAAACAAGTAAAGATCATTTAACAAGTTTTATTTCCTTACAAACAGATATATATTTATATAAATATGAAATCCCAAGAACTTATCAGCAACAGTTCCGGTAGAGGGCGCCTAGTGCGCAGTTTTGCGTCCCACTGGGTTGATACATACAAATGTGCCCGTACTGACGCTTAATAATCTGTGACCAATATATTCTATGTACAACATACAAACACCAATAATGTAGGCCTCGTGAAGTCGCTGGCAGCCTGTGGTCAACGTTTTAATTTATAGGTAGACGCGCAGTCGTTAGTGCCGTTAGTGTTACAAATTGAACCTCTACTCACTTCAATTTTAGGACGAGGGTTGTACGAACAGCCAGACTACAGACTATAGTTGAGTTGCACATTAATTTGATACATTTTTTATTAGTGTTTTTACGAACACGAAATATAAATCAGTAGCAGTGAAAGTTTTGCAAAGAATAGACATAGCAAACTAACAAAAAATGTAAATAGTTTGGTACACTTGACAATGTCATGGGACAAACCATGGTACCTAGGTTGTTGTCCGCAGGTGTGTTGGCGCATTGTGTATCTTCTCATTATTCCACACACATCAATTCCTTTTTTTATTCCATAATATCAACTTTCTTCCGAATACGCAAAATTAAAACTAATGATGACAGTAACCATGAAATAGTGGAATTAAACAATGCGCGAAGGAACCCACACCATGAATTAATTTGGCCACGTTAGTTGCCGCGGGCTATACAAACGCAGGAGTATATTTATGAGGGATATATACCTAATACAATCTGCGTCAGCTGTAGTCTGTAGCATAGTGCCGGGACACTTCATTCAGTCTTCTCGTTACACTCAGCTCATACAGACGAAGGTACTTCTTACAGCTAGCTGGAGGGGTGGCACTTGTCCCACATACCACGGTGAACGAGCGAATAGCGATTGCGAATGCCGTCTTTACATATGCGTGTTCGTTATTTCAATCGCCATTCGTCGCACAACGCTCCTGGATGCGTTAATGCGACAACAAACAGTTTAACACAGCAGTCAAAGGCCGCTCACTGTAGCCAGTCGCTGGGCGCGCGGACAGAGGCCGGCTGGGTGATCTGGGTATTGCGTTATGTTTAGGTACATGTGACAAATGACAATATGTTAGAGTATCAACTATATTTTGGAAAAGCACTCTCGGCAACCTGACGCCGCCAGTGCGTGCAGAATGAATGGCAGAAATACATTAGCGTGTCGTGTCGTGCCGGTTTCACACTAAGATATGTCAGCGCCGCGCGCCACACGGCTCGGTAATGTACTGCAGCTGGCATTAGTGCGGACAGGACCCGCACTAGGTGACGCGACACTAGACACCGAGTACACGACGATTACGTACAAGAGAGATATGCTCCACCGTTGGTCCTACAGAGAGATACAGTCTAACAACATATAAAGCAAACTTTAGACGAAGGTGACGCGTACAATACAAGACGACGACAAGCCCGGCGGGGCTCACTTGATGGAGCACGTGAACTGCGCGCGCAGGCGGCGCAGCGAGCTCGCCGAGTCCGTGCGCGGCGCCACGTTGTCGTTGTGCACGTCGTCCGCGCGCGCCCCCGCGCCCCCGGCCGCGCCCGCGTTGCCGTTGTCATCCTCCGAACCCGTGCTCTCCCAGCAGCCCGCCGCACCTACACACATGCCAGTTGCAGGGCGCACGCCGCGCCCCGCGCCCCCGCGCCCCGCGCCCCCGCGCCCACTTACTGTCGGAGTGGTCCGTGCGGCGGCTGAGCGAGGCGCTGGCCGAGGACTGCGCCAGCGCGTCGGACGAGTCGAGCTCCAGCGAGGACTGCGAGGCGCAGGAGCCGGCTGACCGCGACCGCGACGAGCAGCGCGACGCCGACCCTGACGCCGATCCGTCCGAGTCGTCTGCGCCTTGCTCCATCATTTCCTATAAGCAACGAGCCCATCACCACACACGCCTGCCTTGCACAAGCAGAGCAGGCACACACTAAACAGAAACATACCTAAATACCTACGAAGTACGGTTACCCATATTTTTATATACCTATCCTTCTCTATTAAGTCGATAATGAGATGTGATTTTCAAATGAAATGAAACAAAATTAATAAATAGAAACAAAATTAATATATATGTATACCCAGAATGATATCTGAGTGAGCATGACAATAATTGTACGCTGATACAAGTACCAATTTTTTTAAAAAAAAACGTTGCCCACACTAGGTTTTTCTTCTGTGTCGTGGTTGCGGTTACAAACAAAATTTCACACACACATGACACTCAAATCAAATCAATCAAATCAAATTCTTTATTTCAAGTAGACCACAAAAGGCACTTTTGAACGTCAAGCAAAAAAGATATTTACGGTTTAACTTTATGTGTCAGTCTGTCCGTCTGTCCTCTAGTGAAGCTATTTGCTCGTTCCAAAGTGTAGATTCCTATGGAGAAGAACGAGCAAGAAACTCCATGGTTAGGTACTCTTTTTCAATCACTTTTTACAATGCATTGTTACATAATTTAGATAGGTAGTTCCATTATGTGAGAACAGTGTAACACTAGTGTTTAACCAAAGGACCCGAAAAAGAAATGAACCTCAGGGACAGCAACTTTAGACAGTCTCGAGTTGACCAGACCCAATAGGCGGCGTCCGTTCACGAACATGACACGTACACCAGCACCGCCCAACTCAACCATATTATAGGGAACCGAGCGGTCCAGTGCCCGTGCCACCGCCAATGAGACTCCTGAGTGAGCATGACAACTCCCAACTGACACAAGTACAAATATACTATAATTAAGCCTAACTCAATTATTATAAGTTACAGGGCTCTCACATTTACAAAAATCCAGTTTATCAACAATTAACAACATGGTGAATAATTTAATAATTGAGATCGAAATTTCTCTTAACCTTAACAATTTTATCCTGTGCAGTCAAAACAGCCACCCTCCAAGCATTTTTGCCCTAAGTTATGACCTAAGTTATAGATAGCTCTGACGGCACGCTTTTGTAAGATAAAGAATCGGTTAGCTGACGGATCTTCCAGACAGCATAAGCTGCCGAGCTCAATCGCCCTGCTAGTGGTCTCCTTTACAAATTCCAGTTTCTGACCATTTAATAATATATCATCGCATACGTTACTTTTAACATTTGGCAAAATAAATCTAATGCATTTCGTCTTTTTATCATTAAGTACTAAGTTGTTTGTTGTGAACCAATTATGAACTTTCATTAAGGCATTATTCACTTCGTCATAGTTATTTGACAGTCTATTTAGTTTAAAAATCAAGGATGTGTCATCAGCGAATAATACCATATGCGGTTCACTTTGGAATAAATGGGACAGATCATTCACATAAACCAAAAATAGGAATGGACCTAATATTGAGCCCTGCGGTACGCCCATAGATACGCTAGCGCCCTGTGAGTTTACTCTGTTTACTTGTACTGTAAGTAGTAGTGTAACGTCCCTTAGTGAACCCGTATTGTCATGGAAAATAGAATTCGAGTTAAAGTGACGCAGTATTTAAGTAAGTATCAACTTTTCAAACACTTTACTGAGCACTGGCAAAACAGAGACCGGCCTATAGTTATTGCGTTCTGTACTATCACCTGATTTAAGTAATGGAACTACTTTACTATGTTTCTGTGTTATTAGATTTGTTTCTACCTGTTTCATTCTTAATTATACCTACTCCAGGTAGCTTTTATTTTATTTTCCGCGGTTGATTTTACTGCTAATATAGAGCGATTTAGCATGCTTACAAACTAATTTAAATATTTTTGAATATTTGGAGACATGCCTACGAAAAGCCTCACTCTTATCAAATGGTTTCATGCCATATAGCTCAAATAACTTTTCTCTACTTATACGAATGTCTGGTGTAGTCCAGTCACAGAATAAAAATGTACACTGGATATTTTTACGTTTTAAAGGGAACATTTGTATTTTTATGGTGGATAATAAGTTAGCATAGATCTCACTCGAGCATTCCTTGTCTTGTAATGGGCTGCATAATTGATGTTTTAAATTGTTATTTAATGACTCAATTTTTTTGTTGTTATCTGTCTGAATATAATTTCCTTTGTTGCCACAGTTTTAAAAGTATTAAAGTTGACTGTTGACTGTTAGCCCACTGTGATCAGATGGTATCTGTTTACAATTACATTATGTAAATAATCACAGTTACAAAAAATATTATCTATACAAGTTGCCGAGGTGGATGTTACTCGGGTGGGCTCAAGGAATATATTAGACAGATCAAAAGATTTAAAAAGACCTAATTAGTTTGTACAATAAGAGTTGTTTTCTAAGAGATCTACATTAAAATCGCCACATACTATTGTATACTTATTACTAGAACACGTATTCTGTAATACATCTTCCATTACTGAGCAAAATATATTTAAATTCTGTATGTTAGGAGGCCTATAAACACATACTACAATATGCCTATCCAGTTCAACACAGGACAACTCTATTGAGTGCTCAATTGATAGCAGTGCACTGTCTTGCCTTTCTTTATATTTTATTGAATTCTTTACTAAAATCAAGCTACCACAATGTATCATTTCTTGGCGGCTAAAATAGTTGCCAACACAATAATTATTGAAGTTAATTGATTCTACTCAGACACGAAACAACAATTTGTGGATCACACAAAGAGTTGTTCCGTGGTAGGTTATATATAGGGCACTTACACATACAAAAACTTTTAAGTTCCTTCATCAACAAATTGCCAACGTGGTGCATCACCCCTCTTAACATTAAATATTTGCATAAATAAGGAGTGGAGTGGCACCACCATGACTCCAAGCGTTTGTATCCTCTAAGTATAATCGTTAAGGATACTTGTCTACATAAAGTTATTTAAACTGATATTAGATTACCTACGTAGTACTTAGATGAAGTAAAAAACATGTTTTGAAAACAGTTTCAATATTTACATGTATTTACATGTTGAAGGGTTAGAGCAACACATGGAAAAACTTTAAAGACGCACCTTTATGTTAAAACGGGAACTTTCTTATTCGAGGAGGAATAAAGAATCCCCATTCGGAGTCAATAAGAAAACCAACTACGAGTATCTACGTTGAAATGTAATACTGCGTTAATTAAAAAGAGCTTTTATGGTGTTGCACCAAAGATTTTTAATAAAATACCTGATGCTATAAAATGTATGCCATTAAGGAAATTCAAAAAGTATCTTCACAAGTTATTGGTTGATAAATGTTATTATAACTTGGATGACTATTGTAATGATAATACTATTTACTATGAGGAATTGCTTAGCTGTGAGACTAAGCGGACGTTATTATTGTTGTGATTATAATGAGTCATTATTAATTATAAATATTAATTACTAAAAAAATTTTGCACACTTGCAAAAATAAAGTGTGTCGCGTGAAGTAAAGTGTGTTTGCGAGTAACTTACGTTGCATCTTTGTACACTCTGCAAGATGAACTAACTACTTTCAAAAGTAATAAATAGTGTTAGTATGTCTAACCCGTCTACCTCAGGACTAAGCCCTTTTGGGCGTAGCCAATTACTACGGCGTAGTCCACCGCCGACGCCATCGCCGTCTGAACAGCACCACCAAAAAGACCCAGAGCCGCCAGCGTCCACTGAGCCTGAAGTAGAATTGGTTTCTACGCCGGAGATCCAGAAATGGTTGTCTTCCATTGACGGAATTATGTCGGAAGTTTGTGGCATTGTAGCGGAAGGAAAAATGAACAACGACCAGAAACTCCGCGTCACCAACCTATGCCGTAAGGTTTCTCATGGGACATCGCAGATGGCAGTACTATACCAGTCCCTGAAGCAGAAAACAATCCAGGCCCATTTTACCATCCAACAATTACAAGGACAACAGGAAATTGCAAACTCCCTCCAAGAACTAAAAAAAGTTGTAGAAGCTGAACGTAAGTCAGAGTGCACTTCCTATGCCAATATGGTAAAAAAAGGAGAGGACAAATTCATTCGGCCAGCCAATCTCAGCTCTCTTGCTATCTACCCGAATGATAAGACGCAGACCAGTGACGCAACCAAGAGCCTAGTTCAGCAAATTATCTCCCCTGAAGAGCTGAAACTTCGAGTCCGCGGGTTGAAGAAAATTAGAAACGGAGGCGTTATTATCAGTGCGGATAGCAAAAGCGATATAGAGAAGCTGAAAGCATCCGAAAAACTAGTTTCCTCAGGCCTCAAAGTCGAAGAACCTTCTAAACGTCGACCACGTATTGCTGTCATTGGTATCCCTGTAGCCCTCACTGAATCGGAAGTCATGGAGTGCATCTATGAACAGAATCTCTCAGACAAATTGCCGAATACTACGCGTGCGTCCTTTTTAAATGATATAAGACTAAGCCACAAGTCCGGTAAGAAAGATCGTCCGACTTGTAATTATATTATAGAAGTTCCAGCTACCATTAGGAAAATGCTGATCAATCAAGGCCGTATTTTTATAAATTGGACGTCTTGCCCCGTAAGAGACTTTACAATAGTGACCAGATGTTTCAACTGCCAACAGTTTGGTCATGCAGCCAAGTTTTGCCGCGAAACAAGCCCTACATGCAACCACTGTGGAGAGACGGGACATTCTTTCAAAGAATGTAACAAAACATCTTCTCCTGCCACATGTGCAACCTGCAAGAGGTTCAAGCGGAAGTGTGACCATGAGACTGGTGATCTGAACTGCCCGGCACGTAAATATGCAGAAGACAGTTACATTCCCACAATAGACTATGAAGGCGCCTAAGAGCGCCACCTATTTTATTTGTAAGTAGCACATAAACACTAGTCTTAACTTCTATTTTTATCTTTACTTATTACATCTTAACAATATGACCAATAGTCTCATTAGCGATATTGATAATTTTTCCGTATCTGAATCCATCGTTTGCAACGTTGAAAACTGCAAAAATTTTATTCCTACTGGTGATAAGATACTAACCTTCCTAACTCAGAATATTCGTAGTATAAGTCGGAATTTTAATGGGTTTGAAGTACTTTTACAGAACCTTGATATAAGCTGTGATGTCATTGTACTTACAGAATGTTGGTTATCTAAACAAACAGACAATTTGCCAATGTTGGATGGTTATACTTTGTACAAAACAGTGACAAATAATAATCAGAATGATGGTCTGGTTGTATATATTAAAATATCCTTAAAGTATCTGTGGAAGAACCCTTATTTCAAGGCTGTAATAGTCTCTTAATTAAAATTAACCTAGATACAATAGCTTTGGCTGTATATAGGCCACCATCGCAAAATGTAGATATATTTATAGAATCGCTTAGTACTATTTTAGAACAACTTTCGTGTTATAATAATATTATACTTTTAGGTGACATTAACATAAACATTGCTTCTGGGAAAACTAACAATCATGCACATAACTATCTGAATATCTGTACATTCCATGGACTATTGCCAGCCCATGATCACCCTACACATCAGAGTGGTTCATGCTTAGATCACATCATTATAAAATCTAAATTACCTTCTAAAACTTACATTACTAATTCATCGCTTACAGATCACCAAGCAATATTGCTAACTTTACAAATGTCGTTACCTAGAAAAAACTGCATGCGTACCATAACAAAACTAAATATGACTACACTTGAAAACGACATGCGTGACTTAAATCTTGACCCCGTTTACAGTTCTAGTGATCCAAATATTAGTTTGCAGTATTTTATTGACTCATTACAAACAATGATTAGTAATAATACTACTAATAAAATTGTACCTAGAAAATACTGCAATATTAAGCCGTGGATTACGCCCGGCCTTGTCCGTTGTATTAGACATAGGGATAGACTACACCAAAAACTGAAACTCGCACCTGATAACGAGATACTTTCTGTTACTTATAAACGCTACAGGAATTTCTGCAATAATCTATTGAAAAAATTAAAAACCCAATACGACAAAGTTGAAATACAAAAAGCCGGTAAGAACAGTAAGCTCATTTGGAAAGTCGTTAAAAACAATACTTTTAGATCAAAAAAATCAGACTCTGCTCTAGAACTTTTAGCAACGGATACAACCCCAATTCTAGCGGCAAATAAAGTAAACAAATACTTTGTTAACATGGGTAAAAATCTAGCTGAAAAAGCTTTATCCAGAAATTCCTTTCCGCAAAGTACAACTATGTCACTCAATACCTTAGGTTCGTTTGTGTTACTCGACACCGACGTCAAAGAAATAGTTAGTATTATAGATGGATTAAAGGACTCTTGTGCTGTTGGGTGGGATAACATCCCTAATAACGTACTTAAAAGATTCAAGCACATAATTGCACCTCCACTAACATATATATTTAACTTATGCTTAACGAACGGTATATTTCCCGATCTGCTTAAAAAGGCCTTAGTTACTCCCGTTTTTAAAGCCGGTGACAAAACTAATATTACCAATTATAGACCGATTGCAGTACTATCAGGCCTTTCTAAGATTTTGGAGAAGATTATTAACGTTAGACTAACTAAATATCTTGAGAACAAAAATTTGCTCTCCGATCGTCAATTTGGATTTAGATCTAAAAGATCAACTAACCAAGCGGTTCATCAACTCACTAATTATGTATGTACAAGTCTGGATAAAAGTTTGTACACAATTGGGATCTTCTTAGACCTTGCGAAGGCATTCACGGACTATCTTAAAAATCGTCAGCAGTGTATAAAAATTGGTCAATATAGAAGTTCGGAACTAAAAAACAGTAGTTACGGAATTCCTCAGGGTAGTATATTGGGTCCTACTTTATTCCTAATATATATCAATGACCTATGCAGCTTGACCCTCCAAAATGGTGTTATTATGTCATATGCTGATGACACAGCTCTTGTGTTCACAGGTAAATCAAAAGATGAGGTCTATGAATTTGCCCAAAATGGTTTTAATGTAGTGTCTAATTGGCTTCGTAATAATCTCCTAACATTGAATTCAGATAAAACAAATTACATGTTATTTTCAATGAGAAATGCCCACATATCCACTACTAACCTAAACATTTATGCACATAATTGTCATACGAGTACGACCGCTGACACAGCATGCGCTTGCCCTACATTAGTAAAGACTGACTATATAAAATATCTACTTAGGTGTTACTATTGATGCGAATCTCAATTTCCGAAAACATATTGATTTATTATGCACTAGAGTACGAAAATTAATCTATGTCTTTAAATACTTGCGCAATATTGCAGACTTTACCTTGATACGCCAGGTGTATATGGCTTTGTGTCAATCCATTCTTACTTACTGTATTAACTCATGGGGTGGTGCTCCAAAAACTATTCTCTTGCCCCTAGAACGTGCTCAAAGAGCAATCCTGAAGGTCGCCACCTTTCGTCCTTTCAGATTTCCTACTCACCAGCTATACAAGGAATGCAAACTACTGACAGTACGCCAGTTATTCATCCTTAACATAGTACTACTGCAGCATACTGAAATTGGTTTTAGCCCGGTACTTTCCGGCAAAAGAAAGGATTTAGTTTGCACTAACCCTCAGACGAAACATGCTTTTACTAACAGATTTTATTTATTTCTAGGACCTTATTTATATAACAAACTCAATAGGCTGCTAAAAATGTATAGTGTAAGTTTAAATAAGTGTAAACTAATGCTAACAGAATATTTACAGTCCCTCAATTACTCAGATACGGAAAAATTGCTAGAAGTATTAAAATAAAGTACTTATTTTTAGTAAATTACTTACATATTAACTAGTATAATGTTAGTTTTGTTTAATAATTTAGGCCAGGTTGTCCTTGCTTAGTCTTACATTATGAAATACGATAATTATTTATTATTATATCCATTGAATTATTTTTTTTGCATTGATAGCCTGAAACACAGGTTTAAATAAACCTAGTTCGGGTAGTCCCTAATATTTAGACTAAGAACGTTATTTCCTCACATATGTATTGTATTAGACTAGATTAAGTTAACTATTACGATTGTTATTATTAAGACTTTTTATTACTATAAAATCTGAGCCATCTGTAATTGTAAACGTGTTCAATGTTTTTAATAAAAATTTTTAAATTTATTTAATTTTATTTGATTAAATTATGATATGATGAATTGTGAGATTGTGTATTGTAGTTTAATTTCTAATGTTGACTTGGATGACTATTTTAATTTTGTATGACTATTTGATTAAATTCTGTAATTTTATTAATTCATATTATTAATGTAACGGACGAATAATTTCTCGCATGTTCTTTTGTTATGATCTTGTGTGTGTTTTTTTGTTTTTCTTTCTTATAGTGGACATTATTAAATTGATTATTTTAATGTATTCGACGGAGCGTCGATTATTTAAATTGAATTTTAAAGGAGGTTTTATCACAATTCATCGGACGAGGGTACAATGAATCGTACTCTGGCGGAACGTCAAACAGACAGTTCTGGAGGGAGAAGGAGTGGAGGGCGAGCGCTGTGGCCCGTGACCCTTGCTGTGACTGTCATATGAGACGGATCGCCGACGGCCGTTATTTTTGTAATTTATTCGGTATGATTATAAAATCTTACGCCCTGCGATGGACTGTGAAGACGATGATCGGGATGTTGACGTTTGTACCAACCCCCCGGTGCCTTCATATTTGTATAAAATTGGCAGAAAATTGTGACTTTTGCAAAGCATAGTGCAACACTTATCTATTTAAGACCTTGACATGTATGATTAATGCCTAAGTACCTATATCTCCTTCACCTATGTTTAACAAATATATAATTTTGATTCTGATTCTGATAGTTTTATTATATATAATGATAATGATTTACCTTCATTAGGGTATTTCACTTAGCATTTGGATGTACCATTTAACACATTTAAATTTTTCTCTGAGATATTCACGACGGCTATGTTATTGATAGCTCTGACAGCACGCTTTTGAAAGATAAAGATAAACTCAATTTCAGTCGTCCCCTACATCAGAGTATTCAGAGTACGTTACGACATGACATGACGCTTTGAAGTACTCTTTTGACTGCACGGTTGCTGCTACTAGCTGCCTTGCAACGTGTCGCGGGTTAGATTCCCGCACGGAACAACAGTTTTTGTGATCCAAAAATTGTATTTCCGGGTCTGGGTGTCATGTGTTTGTGAAATTGTATGTTTGTAATCGCACCAACAACACAGGAGAAAATCCTAGTGTGGGGAAAGTTTTATACGAAAGATAAAGATATTCTAGTCTTACTGTCCCTACGTCGGTTCACTGTCGGATCTTCCAGACAGCATAAGCTGCAGAGCGTAATCGTTAATGATGACGTACTAGAGATGTGATATACGAGCCCCAATGCAGTTTTGTCGTCAAAATCAATTGCCAGGAAAGTATTCTTCTTCTATTAAACACATTGCAAAATAAATCGAATGCATTTCGTCTTTTTATTGTTTATTACGTACTAAGTTGTTCATTGTGTGTAAACTAATTTTGTACTTTCATTAGAACTTAATCAGTTTTTGTCAATCATTTGTTCGTATATTTATTTTAAAAATGAATGAGAGAGGCTGGTCAGGAATCTTGTGCTCTTTATCGTTACCTACGCCATGTCAACTTTAGTAAGACCCGCTGATGGGAGCTGGTAGCACCGCAGCTTAGCGAAGTTGCCAGATGTCAGGTAGATCGCTGTGGTTTTTGATATATATGCATAGGTAAGCTTCACCGTTAGGTTCCTAACATTTCACCGTATATCGGAGGCAGGAGGCACACGCTACTCTTATTAGGGACCACAACGGTGGACAGAAATTTCTTCATTAATAAGTCTGTTTCTTTGACTGTTTATGATTGATTCTAAAATGTTAAATAACGTGATTGATTGCGAGATGCGTACTTGATGGGCGCTGGAGCCGGCGGAGGCGGGGAACGAGGGCGCGGCGAGCGGGCGGTGCGCCCCGTCAGCGCCGGCGGCGGCGTGGCGCGCTCCGTCGGCGCCGGCGGCGGGCTGCGTGCGCACCTTGTGCTGCAGGAGCGGGTAGAAGCCGCGCGCCGTGGCGTTGTGGGGCTCGTACTGCAGGATCAGCCGGCAGTACTTCAGCGCCTCGGCGTACTGCCGCCGCATGATCGCTGACAGGAACTGGAACAGCCGACGCATTGCTCAAACCAGATCACTGATCTCCTACCGCCGCAGCGTGTTGCTGCAGTGTGGCCGAGATCGAAATACTAGTGCGGTTTCTTATTTTCATCTTTCTTACAACATTATAACATATTAACATTACAACATATTAAGTGCCTAGTGCGTGTTTACGTTAAGACGATCGACACGCCTATAATTAACGTGTAAAACTAACCTCCGCCAGGAACTCGCTGGGAGCGGACAAACTCTCGTTGCCGTCGGAACAGTCCTCCGGACTGGTCGAGTGTCTGTTTCCCGTGTCCATGGCGGGCGCGGCGGCCGACGGAGGAGAGCACAGACCTGGCCGGCCCGCCACCGATGTCGACGTGTCGGACTCCGCGGCCTGCGAACGCTGCCGAAAGTGCTCGCTCGTTGGCCGGTAGCGAGGCAGCGGCTCGCAGGAGGCGCTGGGCGGCACTGGCAGAGTCACCACCAGGCGCCGCGAGGGTCGCGAGGGCGAGCCGGCCGTCGAAGGCTGCGACAGCGCCGGCGCAGGCAGGAGCAGCGAGCGCGCGGGAGAACGTGCGGCCCGGACCCGTGGGCGCTCGGCCCGCACTGGTGAAGGCTCGGCCAGTCGTGCGCGGCAGCCTCGCCGTTGCTCGCTTAACCGCAAGGCGACGCGCGAAGCGGTCTCGAGCCTGGAGGCAGGCACGGGCGGCGGCCAGGTAGCGCGCGGCCAAGCGGGCGGAGGAGGGGGGCGCAGGGGCGCGGGCCGGTACAGGCGCGGGTTTGGCACTGGCCGCCGAAACACGCGGTTGCGGCGCCGGCCGCGGCCTTCGTTTCCGCGGGGCTCCGCACGCTTGAGCTTGGGACGCGGCCCCGGGTACAGGCGCGGGTTGGGCGTGTAGGGAGGCCGAGTACGCGGCCGGCCTGGCTGCCGAGACTCGGCTGGCGGCCGCCGCGGGCGGCGCGGCGCGCCTAGGTCGATCACGTCCCCGGCTTCCGACTCTGCCTCGCGTTTGACTCTAATCAACAATTCCTCATTATCTAAACGCTATAGGTATTATAAGATTATATTTTCTCTTTTATATTATTATATACAGTCGTGGTTAACTAATTAGAGACATTACCAGGAAAACTCAAGCGTTTCTATTAGGCCCAGCTATGCTATTCTCAAAAGTTAATTTGCGAAATCACCTCTTAAGTCGGCGGTGAAATAATGTTTATTTAAAGTTTCATATTCTGAAGTGGCGCCACCATGTGAATATCGAAGTAAAGGGAATTAAAACAAGTGAGTACTTTGACCTTTGTGTACAGGCGAGAGAAGCGAAGTGGTGTGACTTGCGAGATGAGATTTGCCATTTAGGATAGAGTAGGTAGTGTAGGTTAGGTAAAGTAGGGTACGTAGAGTAGAGCAATGTAAGTGAGAATGCTTTAAAAACATGTAATCACGGCAAATGCAGTGCCGGATTAGCCACGTAGCAAGAGTAGCAAATGCTACGGGCCCCGCGGATTGGAGGGCCCCGCGCTCAAATAGGTATTTCTTAATTACACCACTTCTACAGCAAGACCTATGTAGAAAATGTTTTGTTTACAAAACTACTTCCAAACTGCAAGTAATTTGATTTTTTTCTTAACGAAATAAACGAAAAAAGACAAATAGTCGGTATTTTGTATGTGTAAGAAAAGGAAAGCTAGTATTTGTCCGCTCGGTTGGGTCGGGCAAACCGAGCCGCCTCACCTCTAGGTATAATATCTATCACGAAAAACGTTGGTATCAAAATGAACAACAATAATTTGAAATTGTACAACATCTTTTAAATTGAGAGCGGTAGCCACACACAAGTTATGTGTTGTACTACTTGCACTGCACTAAACACAAGTTGGTAACACTGCAAAACCATTTGGGGAATTCCCTGATATTGTCATCGATCGAGCTAGCCGTAACTCGAACAAATAATTAGGATTCTATTGACTATCAAACAATAAGATATTGGTATACACTTTCCTTTGACTCAATATAAACTACAAATGTGAACTATTTGTGAGAAAAGTTATCTTGACATTGCTTAAAGTACTGTTTTCGTGATTGACGTAGCGCTGTGTTCATTCAATTATCTTTTTACCGACTTCAAAAAAAAGAGGGGGTACTATGTTCGACTGATTGTTTTTTTGTATATTCACCGATTACTCCGCCATTATAAACCAATTTCCAAAATTCTTTCTTTGTTTGAAAGGTTATACTCCCGAGAGGGTCCCATTTTCATGAGGTCGGGATCTGATAATTGTAGGGGCGAGTAGTGCATGTTGTTTTAGTATATTTATTACAACGCTACAACCTGCCGATAGTCGAACTTGACCTGATGATGGAGCCGGAAGACAGTTGAAGGATCTCCTTGATTATTTGAAGTAGTTACCTTGTGTTTGGGCTTGAATGATTCGTATTGGTGAGCATTTTGCACTAAGATTGGTGCACCGTGACTGTCATTAGGGGTCTGATGATGAGAAAGAAGGACAGCTTAGGGAACTCCTGAACGATTCACAGAAACTTTTTCGTGTTTGGACTTAATTCATTTATATCGATGAAAACTTCGCACCTATATAGGTTAAGTACAATGAAGTTATGGAGTAAATCTGATGATGGAGCAGGAAGACTATCGTAAGATCTCTTTGACTATTTCGAGTAATTATGTTGTGCTTGGATTTAATTAATTTATATTGATGAGAACTTTGCACCTATACAGATTACGTAAGTATATTGAAGGTCTGCAGTATAAATGATGATGGAGAACATTGACAGTCGAGGGAATTCCTCAGCGATTTACAGCACTGAACACTGACTAACTTAGGACTACTACTATTATCGTGATTTTCGGTCTCAAGTAGTCGTCGTCTTCTCATTCGAAAACCATTATCCTTGCTTGCTCTGCCAAGTGAATCATCCAAGTCATACCAAAGAGCAACAGTATTAAATTAACTAAAATTCGCGGGTTACTCACGTGTAAATGTTGAGAAAAGCTCTACTAGTTTCGTATTATAAAAACATAGCAACAGTATTAGAAAAATATTAATCGGTACCTCCTAGTCATCAAACTAACAAAAGCTACTCGTATATAGGTAAAGATTACACTATTTTTGTTTTGCTTGGCACCGAATTCAAAATTATAATATGGTCATTAATAGTCTTTTCTATTTAACTAAGAGAAAACATGTATTAATTTCTACAAAGAAAACATATTTTTTGCTTTTAAGCTTACTTTTTGAAGTCGGAATATTTTTGTTAAACATTATTTATTTCACAATCGTCTGATCAAGACCTTAATACGGGATACGCCCTTTATGAAACATTATATGGCTACGTCCAAGCAATGCGACCCACATTTTCAGATATAAGAGGCAAGAGCCAAAGATTTGACAAACTGTGAAGAATACCAGCAACAGACATCACGACGATTTAAGCGAAATACAAAGAACGACCATTTCAGCGGCTCTAATACCTACACTCGACGACTATGTTGAAAATCAAACACCTGGACAACTCAACAACAAAAAATCGTCAAAGATGTTCAGTGCTTACGAAGATGATTTGGAGAACGGCGAATTAGTGCAGTTCGCAGAGCTGCTGAAAACAGATGTGGCTACTGTAATTGACAGCAAGAAACAGGAGCCTCTGGAACTGCAATTTTATAAACTTTTATTAAATAATTCTTTAGAATCGTGTTTCCCGAATTTAGAAATTGCCTTGCGTATTTACTTATCTTTCATGATCACAAACTGCAGTGGCGAACGTTATTTTTCAACGTTGAAACGAATTAAAAATGAATCAAGGAACAGTATGGGCCAAGAACGTCTTAATCATCTCACGTTGTTGAATATAAAGCATGACTTGCTTAAAGAAGTCGATATTGAAAGTTTAATCGCGAAATTTCACCATAATAAATCTAGAAAAGTTTTGTAACAGTTTTGTTTTATTTAATACCCTTTTGAGAACCGTTAGCAAACCAAGGGCCCCTTGACAGAATTTGCTACAGGCCCCGCGCTGGCTTAATCCGGCACTGGGCAAATGTAGCAGAGATGCTATAAGGATGGGATTAATTCGATCACAGGAATCTGAACAGGATCATGCTGCAAGACTTAGTGCATCTTAGGAACGTCAGGCCAAGTTACATCCCTCAGAAACGTCACCTCAACGAGAATCACGACTGAGGTCAGAACGTTTTCGATTGACTTATGCCCGTTTTCACCAACAGCCCCTAAAAAGTCACCTTAGTAAGGGCCACTTAACTTAGGGGACCGTTCAAATCATCCCATAACTTAAATTTTGTTTCACTGTCCTAAGTGTCACCTAATTAAGAGCCCCCTAATTAGGTGACGTTTAGTGTTGAGGAACTATGCAAACAGTTATCGATAAATGAATCGATTAGACAATTCTATTGTTATTTTCGTAAATATACAACCTTAAAACAAGTAATTAACTTTTCTAACTTCAATTTATTTCGAAAAGAAGTGTCTTGAACTGGTGAATGTTAGATTAGTAACAAAAAGTTGTGTTTTTATTTTTTAGCTGTATATTGAATGCCATAGCTTACAAAGACGCGGTGCCGGTGACATTTTGATGCCACTATCCAGTGACAGTTTCATTTCAATCATTTCGTGTATTTTCAAAAAATACCAAATTTTTATTAATTACAATGGCAGAAAAGAGGAAACGTGGTCAAAATTTTTCACTTGAAGATAAAGAATGTTGTTTATCCTGGCTAGCGTGTCACCACATCAGTTATTAATAATTTTGCAGTACTTATTGTTTGCATGTTAATAGAAATACTGCTTTTTCTATTCCAGAATAGTTCGGCATCATCTCCTCCTATAATTTATAAATCACATGAATAAATGTAAAGAAGGTTTCTAGTTAATACAATTAAAAGACTTTTGAATATCATTATTAGAGACATCATAGAAAGACGATAGGTGTGCGAACGACACGGTGTTCGCTGGAGGCTCAATAAATATGACACAAAGATCTGCCGTATCTGTATGTGTGCGTGTCTATCCATCTTATTAAATCATGTAATATTTCATAGGAGATTCAGTAATAAATGGTTACTCGTAAGGACCTGTGTTTCTCTAGACGCCCAACCTTATAATTGAATTTTTATGTGTGTACAGTCTATAGGTACATCCTAAAACATTTGGAAATCGAGCTATTCTGTAAAATTCTTCTTTTACTATTTGTTGTTTTTCTTCGGTGTCTGGAAATTGTATGAATTCGCTTTGCCACGAACCACGTTAGCGTCAGACACTCTTTTTATAATTGTACTGCAAGTAGATACACTGATGGGATTGAGATCTGCTACAGATAATAATTGATTGCCTGTTGCATAAAATTTAAGGGCACACAGTAATTGGTTAATCGGTGCCACAGATTTATTTCTTTAAATACAAGTAAGGTTGAGCAGGGAACCTGTATCTTATGAAAAAGTCTTTTTCATCATATTTTTCAAAATCTTTCGATCTTTCACGATAAATACCTACGAGGTCGTCTATACAAATGTCGGTTACTTAACAATTCCATATCTTCAATTGCTTAAAATCTTCAAATAAATAGTGGTTATTATCCATTTTTATTATTTTTTATCTTATTCAGTAGGATAAAATACTGTTTGGTGATTCGCAAAATAACCTAACACTATGTGTCACTTAAACGTTACGGGGTCGTCAATTCATCCCCTAAATTATAAGGAACCCCTAATGATATAGGTGACACTTAAACGTTGGTGAAAACAAAACTCGCGAGAAGTACCCCTTATATTGGCTTAAGAGACACTTAAATTTTAGGGGCTGTTGGTGAAAACGGGCATTAGTTCTCCAAAACTTTGTAAAGGTACCAGGTTAAAAGTAATTAATTTGCACCAAAATGTTATACATGCATTTTAAGCAATTTACATACCTCGAATTCTTTGATTCCTAATAACTTCTCATTTTCAATCACACAGGTCCAATTCCCACTAAGCGTATACTATGCAAT